AAAAACTCAGAAAGCGGCAAGTCTAAAGTTAAGCACATGATGAACCGCAAGATTCTGAAGACGACTGCCCGAGTTCCTATGCTTCAGCCGGAGGATCAGACTGATCAGCGTTGAGCCCCATGGTGGCCTCGGCCCCAGCAGCAGAAGAAGCGGGCTTTGCACTTTGCCGAGCCTCCCTTTCCCTCTGCTCAGCTTCCAACTCCAGTCTTTCAGCTTCCTCTTCGGCTTCCTCAGCCTTAAGAATTTCAGCTTCGACTGGAGTTGCATACTTCATGTGAGGGTCTTCGGGATTCTGGACCCACTCAGCACATTTAGACCAGTCCAGTTTCGGCTCAGCATGAAGGCAGACTCTTCGGCATACTCGGAATCCGTTTCTGAAACCCATCTCATATTCCTCTTGGGTATAAACACGGACTTTGAGTAAAGCCTCAGCATCAGCCAGCTTCTTCTGGGTCTCCTCCAAGTCTTCCTTGGATTTCTTCAGCTCATCAGCGACTTGGGAGGAGGAACCTTTCAGCTCATTCAGCTCTTGCTGAATTTGGAAAGCCTTTGTCTGAGCCTGGGCCACTTCAACTTTCTGGATCAGCAATTGATCCTCAGCCTCTTGGAATTTAGCTCTTTGAGCTTCAGCAGCAGCAGCAGCCTCTGAGAGTTGGACGTCTTTGGCCAGGAGCAACTCTTCAGCAGCCATTCGGCTGGCTTCAAGAGCCTCTAGACGCTGCTGCACTTCATCTTGTGCAGCAGTTCCTTCTTGAATTCGGCTCTCAACGGCAGCCTTGAATTTGGAGACGTCCACTCCCATATGCTCCTGGAGGAATTTTTCCCCTTCCATCAGTGGGGGAAAAACTTCCTTCTCCATAGCATCGCAGAAGGTTTTCAGGGCTTCGGCAGCTTTTTTCCCGTACTCCTCAACCTCCTGCTGCTTCTCTTCAGCTGCTGCTTGCTTCAGCTTAGCAAGCTTAACTTCCTCTTCAGCCACCTTCTTTTCGTGCACAGCAGCGTCTACCCTATCTTGTAGGGTATCTATCAGCTCTACAGTGAGAGTCTGATTGTGCACGAACTGAAAACAGGAAGACAAAAAAAAATAAAATAAAAAAAATATATATATAAAGAGCTGAATTTCGGAGGAAATGAAGGAAAATTACCTGCATCATCAGCAGTTGGTTAGACCTGGCTGGGTCAGGAACTGATCTGCTGGATTCGCCCATCCCAGCAGTGGCCTTCAGCGACCAGATCCTTGCCCTGTCTACTTCGGACATGCCAGCAAAATTGCCGAAGTAGGCTGCAGCTCCTTCTCGGTTTTGACCCCATATGAGGTCCCAGATGTGATCTGGGATTGGAATTCGGGGGGCCGAGAAACCCATTTCTCCAGAATGCAGAGTCTGGAAAGAAGGGAAGGATGACGATGGAGCTTGATTAGCTTTGGTTGTCTCAGCATCATCCTTCTCAGAGGAGTCAATTACTATGACCTCCTCTTCTTCAGGGGTGAGGACGAAAGCCTCAACCTCTCTTGCGATGTCTGCCGTGAAGCCCTCAGCGCTGGACATCACGGCATCCTTATTTTCGTGCTCATCAGCACTCTTCTTCATTTCTTCTTGGACCCCTCCCTTAGGTTCGGGAGTTCTCTGATCCACCTCCATCTCAGGAGGTGGCGGAGGGGTCTTTTGAGGAGATTGGGGTGTTGGCTGGGGAACCCTCGGCGATCCATTGCCTTCCTCAGGTTCCCTTATTGCGACGCCGATGGTCATCGGCCTCTGCTGAAAGTCATGAGGGCCGATGATGGCCATCCTTCGGCGCCTTTTCAGAAGGGGCTGCTCGTCCATATCTGAGTCTGAAGACTCTTGTATTTGGTCTTCGGGACGAACAGGAGCTTTGCCTTCTCTGTGTCTGTTACTCTCTTCAGACTGTAACAGACAGGGGGGAAGAAGAATGTGAGTAAAAAAAAAAAAAAAAAAAAAAAAAAAGAAAAGAAAAAAGTTGTCTGAAAGCTCACCGAGGTTTTCAGCAAAGCCTCGTCTTCTTCAGCTGCTCTAGCTGCAGCTTCGGCTTCAGCAGCTCTGGAGGACCCTTCTCCTCCTTCGCAAGCCTCAAGTACCCGTGCAACCTCTTCGGCTGTGCGGGCAGCTTCAGCTTCTTCGTTCAGCAGCTGAAACCAAGGGTCTCTCTTCTTCCACCAAGGCTTCTGCCTCTGATACAGAGCAACAGCCTCAATTTGGAAGTGGGAAGAATCCAGATGAACTTCCCTATGCCTCGGCTCAGTGATAGACGGGGCCCGTTCAGTTACAACTCGCTCTCGGTTAACACCAAGACGAGCGTAGTTAATACCAACGTTGGTCTCGTCCCGCTCTGAAAAAAGGAAAGGGAAAAAGTTTAGCTCAGATATGTCGGCACAGCATAAAAAAAGCAAAGCGAGAGAAGAAAAAGAGGTAGTTAAAAAGCCTCGGCCCCAGCCGAAGAAGCTTACCATCCTTAAACTTTCGGCTGAGGCCAACAGCTGCTAGCATGTTCTCTTGGAAAACGTAATGCGTATCGGGGAGCCAAGTCTCCGGGATATGCTGCATTCGACCACTTCCCCCCGGGTTCGGCAGCTTGCCGAAGATATGTTGCTGATCCAGGTTCGGATCCGCCCCGTTATCTGCTGGGGGACCTAGACTTCCCATTTCGGGATCAGGCTCAGCTAAGTACCGGGGAGCGCTGAAGACGCAAGGGTGGCCCGGATCTGTGGGTGCCCTAACCCTAATCCATTGACCTCTCCAGTCCTTGTCTGAAGAGTCATTTGGCCACATGGTCAAGTATTGGGGCCGGGACTCAATCCGATACCACCCAGAACCATGGCTTCCGTGCCCACTTTGAATATTTGGCACTAGCCGATGGAGCTTTCTGAAGCAGTGCAGGTTCGGCACGTACTTGAAGAACTTGCAGACCCATAAGTATGTCATCACCCTTCGGATGCTGGTGGGGGTTAGCTGACATAGGGAAATGTTGTAATGGATCAGCAAGTCTCGGACGAAAACGTCCAAAGGGAACCTCAGCCCATACTGAAGCTGTCTCGTGTACACCCCCACATACCCCGGGGGTGGACGATGGATTCTATCGGATGCTGAGGGCATTCGGCACCAATATCCATCAGCTTCAAAAATGCCGTAATGCAACTCAATTTGCTCGGCAAATCGATATTGATCGGCGTTCTCTACCCACCATGAGTAGGGGCGGTTCTTTATCATGGCCGAAACGACTTCGGCATTCTCCCACTCTGAAAACCCAGGGAGGATATCCCAAAGAACAACGGGAACTTCATCATCCCGTCCAGAAGCGCTCGGCTCATCCGTTCTTTGAGGAGGAGCCGAGGAAAGGGGAGTCGCCCTAATCCCTTCAGCAGGGTCAGACTCCGGCCTTTGACCATTCCAGGTCCCAATCCTGTTCCTAGGATCGGGAATCGGCCTTGCTCTTCTTGGAGCACGGGCCCTACCTCTAACTCCTCTTGCCATGGATTATTTCGAAGAGAAAAGTCGAAAGAAAAGGGGAAGGAGTTCGAATTCGAAGAAAAATAAACTGAAATCAAAGGAATTTACCTTAATCTGAAGCGAAAGTTGCCGATTTACGAGTTCGTAGTGGCAAGTCTCAGTTTCTAAGCTCAATGCTCGGGGAATTTGCGAAGTTTTGATGCGGGTTCTTGGTTTCTCTCTCGAAGAATTCTGGGTTTGTGTTGGTGAATAAGTGAGGAGAATGACGCGCCTCTGTTTATATCTCCAGGTACGGGATACGAAGAGTTTGTGCTTTAATTTCTCTTAAAATACCCACTAAGTAACCATTAAACACATGATCTTGTGATTAAACTGCCCATTATCCGTCCAACTTCCGCAATCATTAACCGTTGTTATCTCATTAATTACGGTTTAAACTCAAATTTTTGGATCAATTAAATCATTTACTTCCCTCCTTTCCTGAATTAAATCAAACCCGACCCGTCATCCTTCCAAATCGGGTCTGGGGGGCAAGTTGTTTGGGTCCAATTTAGCCAAAATTGGGCCTGAGCACTAAATGATCCAATTAAAAGCCCAAGGTCAAGGTTCAACTCTCCAATTGCTCAAAAGTCAAAGGTCAGCCCACAAAGTAAGCCAATTGGGCCAAAGCCCAACCTCTCCATGTATGATGAGGTATAAAAGCCATCATATTGACACATTCACGAGGACATTGACGTTCAGATTCATATGCTCATTCTTGCATTCAGAAATATTCCACAAAAGCCTCAAGCTACAAACTCTCTTGCATAGTGTCTTCCTTTTACACATTGTACTGACTTTAGCATCGGAGGGGCCTTCCTCGGAAACACCCCCGAGGCTAGTTTACGTGTGTTCACTGTGCAGGAAACCTTCGGCCCAACACAACTTGGATCGAATCCAGTCTTCTCCATTTCAGCGGACCTTCGGCAAGGTCCCATTGTTTTCAACCGAAACACCATCTTATAAAGGCGGTGATACAATTTCTAAGTGTTTTGCTCCCATATGGTTTTCCCCCAATTTTCAATTTTGTTTGTTCTTGATACTAAGCTTGTTTTATTTCTAGGCCAGGTAACTATTTGATCTTAAACATTAAAAACCCTTAATGTTTTGGATCAACTTTCGATTAATTTTGTAATTTTAGTATTAATTATTATTACAGTAAAAGCTTTAATCTGATGTTAGTATGTTAATTATTTCACTACTTATTCCAAATTTCGGTGTTTATCTTCAAAATTTAAAAACTATACTTCCTTCATTGTTTTCTTGACTCTAAGCATTGTCTTACAGATTGGTGTTAAGGTGGGATTATTATTTTCAATTTTGTTCACTTTATATTAATAACAATTTATAATCACATTTCATAATATATTATGGTCAAAATTAATATGTAGTATGTGTAAACTTGCAATTATTTTGAACAGTATTAAATTTATAGATAAAAATTCCTTAAATTGTTAGTACCAAAATGATGAAACTATATTTTCAAATTTCATAACTCAGGATCATATGTAATTACGTGTTAAGTGAATTACGTCTATCTATGTACAAAACATGGGTGGATCAACACATTGGATAGAATTTTACATCACAGCATGACCTAGCTTAACATTAAGCCTTCTAAGCCAAATTGAATGAAGAATCATATGAATAGCATCAAACGGCTTAGCTGGCCTATTAATTACAAAATGTGGCCTTACTTGTAACACTCTCTTTTGTAACATCAAGTACCTCTTCGTCGAAATCCCTTCTAGAATCTTCTTGATCTCTGGGATCTTTGCCACCGGAATATGAATCGAAAACTTACTCCAGTCCAACACATCACTAAATGGCAACGTATAGTTATCGGACACGATGACCGGTACACAACCTGTGTAGATTGACTCAACTAGCCTTGGGCTAGCCACCTCCCACCCACTAGGGCAAAGACAGTATTTACTTTGTCCCATTAAGACGGTGTAATTTTGACCCTTAGGAAGATACCCAAAGACTTGAATAGAATTGTCCTTGTCCTTCCAATGGTCAAAGAGGCTCTTACGAACGTTACCGTGAGGACCACCTGCAAAGAAGGCTAGTACTCTACGTTTAAGAGGCGTTAGGTTGATCATAGGAGGGCCAAGAGTACCCCAAGGAATGAGGATTTCAGGGAGTGTGACATCACGTGAAGGGCGGAAGCCTTCTGAGACGTTGGCGTTGCATAGGACTCGTGTGAAGTGCTTGAAGAGGTTTGGATGGGCTGCTGAAACATCTGGTGCCTGAAACAATAAAATTCAAACACAAAAATACATTATCACTAAGTTCCAAACAGATTATGTACACTTCTGCCTCAAAATGTTATTTCTAGTTTGACAGTGACATTTTTACAAGAATAGTCAATAGGAATAACATAAAGAGTCGAAAAAATTTAGCTGATTGAACTCATTTAAGACGTATATCATAATTGGTGATGGAAATACTTTCTAGGCACATTAGGTCTAATGATTCACTACTATTAATAGAAATAGAAAAAATTATGGACAAGCATACTATGCACCATTACCAATTTAAGGAAAAAAAATAAACCATACGGCCATACCCAATCATGACAAGAAATGAGGAAATGATCAGCACCATTGCTTCTATTCCAATAAGGATAACGCTCCGATATAACTCGAATGTAGTCTGCCACGACATTTTGCATTCGTTCCCTAGAGTAGCTCGTATATGGCCTGTACACGTATCGAATGATGGATGTGATGCTCACCGGAACAAAAAAAGCTAGGGCTTCATTAGGATTGTGAGTTATGAAACGGCTTTTATCATCAGCTGAATTTAGCTCTTCGATCATTTGTCCTTCAATGGAGTATATGTTATTCATAGGACCGCGGTGAAAGAGTGGTGGTTCACCTTCCTTGTACGTGAATATTTTAAATCTTTTCTCCATTTCTTTGTGGCTCCTGAATTTCATGTTCATGCAAATATTAGAATTTTTGTAACTTGAAATATGTCATGAATGTATGATCAATTGGTTTGTTCTGCGACGACATATATAATAAATTAGGCACATATAGAGGTGATAATGAGTCTAGCTTGCTAGCTAACTACAAGAGTTTTGTTCAAAATTGTCACGAGTCAAGTAGAGCATAGGTCCATTTGATAAGTCGTTCAAATAAAATATGGTTTTATTTGACTAAATTTTAACATAATTTAATATGCACATTACCCTAAAGCTGGGGATATATTTAATCAACAAATTTAAATAATATTAAGTGGGCTCATCATTTCCTCTCTATCGAAATGAATCACAGATCAGTTTAGATTAATCGTAAAAATAATTATAAAAAATTATTCCCGATTAGTTTAACTTTAACTCTATCCTACGGCTCGTATATTTAAAAGTCTTAATAAGAGTCAAGTCGACCAACCCCAAACTCGAATCATTAATCATTATCACTAATCATAGTAATCAACCCTGGCCTTACTTGTAATTGTTGCAAAGTCAAGTATTATGGCTTTAGTGGGGGGGATAGTGGTAGTTACTAAATTGGAAAATAAGTGAAAAAATTGAAATGGATGCCTATAAAAGCGCAAGTATGGTAATCAACACTACTTTGGCATCTACATTTACTGTATATAGCAACGAAAGTATAGAACTGTTGACCTAGCTTGTTTATTAGGGTACTCGACTGCCCATAATATGTGCCCCCATACTTCGTAGGCATCCTAGCTAGGATATTAATTACATCAAATTAAAATTATAGTATATAAATAGTGCTTTTCTATAAACTGTTTTACGTAATATGGAATCTTTTTGGAAGGGGGTTGAAAAAATGAAAATTAGATGATACACCCGGGTGCACCATGCTCATAGTGCACCCGGGTAAACAAAAAAAGCGGAAAGAACATATAGTGTTTGATAAAGAACATACCAATGTTTGGCAAAGAACATACCTTTAATATGTTCTTTGAGTGTGATCAGTGTGTTCTTTGAGTAAAATTATATGTTCTTTACATTATAACT